ATTATTTTTTAAATATAAATATATAAATTAAAAAATAATTTTTTATATAATATCAGATCGAATGGGATCAGATTTGTCTAAAATTCGAATTTGACCCAACTCCGATTTTCTATTAATAATACTCAATTCGATCTGAAATTTAATTTTAAAAAAAAATGATCTTATAAAATTGGATCGGATCGGAACCCATTGATTTCAAATTAAGCTACCAACCTTATCTCTAATTGGTAGAAGAAGAAAAGATAAAGACAAAAGAAAATTTCTTGTGCAAAATTTAATCGGATGAACCTTTATTGATTATTGACTTTCCACTTAATTATATATATATATATATATAAAAGAGGGATCAACTTATATTAAAGTAAAATTTTTTAATTTTATATATTTTTAATTATTAATTTTAATAAATTTAAAGAATAAAATTATATTTTTAATTTATCTTTATCATTTTTTTATTTATTCAAATAAAAAATTTTTAAAATATATAAAAATTATATAAAACTTTTTTGTGTAACTTCTTCCCTTTCCTTATATAAAATGCATTATTATCCATAGTCTTCAAAAGCATTTGAATTTCATTTATTTTAGCAAACTGTCATTACAATCATACAGAAATATGTCACCTCAATGTACATCAATATGGATAAAATTAGGTCAGTGGCAAAAATGGTGCATTTATTTGAATTTTTTAACCTAAAATTTAAGCCACGCTGGCATCGACATAATTTTGAGATAATATGCGTAGTTAATTTAATTTTTTTTTAATGTGCTTAACAAAATGAACGGATTTTGAAACATTTTTAAAAGGTCATTGACAGGGACGAAGTCAAGTTTTTTATTTTGAGGAACCAATAATGAATTAATAAAATATCTAATAAAAATAATTAATATTAAATAAAATAATAATGTAATTAAATAAAAAGTATAAATTTCTTTTAATGATTAAAAGAAATTTGTTGGATATTTAAAGAATAATTAACATCTAACTAATAATTTTTTGAAAAAATAAATAATAAAACTAATACATTAAAAGTTGAGATTTAAAAATTAAAATTTTGGTAAAAATAAAAAAATTATAATATATAATTAAATTTGTCATTTTATGTGCACAACATAGGTAGTTGAATTTTTTTTTAATTATATTTTTTGTCAATATAAAAACATTTTTTGACATAATAATTAATGTCAACATGCTAATTTAATTAATTAAAATTTTTTCATTTTAAAAAACTAAAAAATTCAATAAAATAATAATGATTACATTAAAAAGGGTAAATTTTTTATTAAAAAAATAAAATTATTTATTGTATTTACAAGTAAAATTTTCTTTTTGGGACTAGTTTATTTATTACTCCTTCTGTCCATTTTTATTTTATTCATCTTTTCTTTTTTGGATGTCACAAAATTATACTTTTTTTAACAGCTAAAATTCTTATTTTTTTATATTTTAAAATAAAAATTTGTGATTTTTTTTATTTTTTAACGTTAAAAATCATGAAATTTTAATTTTATTAAAAAAAATTTTAATTTTAATATTAAATATATTAAAATCAACTTTTTTCTTACACTCCATGAAAATCAATACAATTCAAACATTTTGAGATGAAAGGAGTACCATGTATGTATGGATTATTCTTAAATCTTGCTACAATACCTCCAAACTCTCATAAAATTATGCAAGTATCGTGACAACACTTCTCCATTAAAAGATTGCGTAAAAAACGGAGAAAGAGTGAATATAGTATAATATATATAAGTCATATTTAATATATAAAATTATTAATAAGATAAAATAATAATTATTTTATATCATGTTTGATTTATATATTAAAAAAAGATAAAAATTGTAAAGAGGATTAGTATTTTTTTTTATAAGATCATTCAATCCTCTTGAAATTGAAAAGATTATTTTTAATCCATGAGATTAAATTTATATATTCAATTATATCTTTAAAAATTATATTAATAATTTAAATTATATAAACTTTGAGTAAAGATAATTTTGATATAAATTATATTTTTTTAATATCTATATATATCAAAATATCAAATATAAAATAATATGATATTATTTAATTTAATCCTATTTATAATACTATTTTATCTTATTATATCTTGTATATCAAACATGAAATGTAATTTATAATGAGTAATATCAAACTTAATTAAAGAACATAATATCACATAAAATATATATATATATATATATATGTGGGAATGGGATGGGATTGTGTCATTGTGATAGTAAGAGAATATTTATTTGAGAAAGGGACCCGAACTTTTTTTTTTAAATAAAAATGAGTTTTTCTAATTATTGAACATCTTTAAAATATTTTTAAGATTAATTGTTAAATTAATTAATATTAATAATTTTACATTAAATGCAATAATCAATAATTTTATTTATAATATTTAATACATCATCATGATATTATTCTAGAAAAATAAACTTAACAAATACGTCTTAAAAATACCTGTTACTAAACTTTATAAAATATATATATATAAAGTACTCGTATTTAATGAAAGAATATTTTAATGTTTTCAACTTTGTTAGAAATGGTTCATTGTCATCATAAAGGAAATGTGATCAGTCATTTTAAGTTCATTAATAATATTAACAACCAATTGGTCAATTAGAGCTCCTTGCTCATTAAAACTGTGGTCCGTGGCACAGTAACATTAATTATCCAAATGAATTAATAACAATGATAATAACAAAAGAATAAACAAACAATTTACCCCTACCTATAGTGTACGATTATTGGGTAATCGAATTTATTTACATTGTATTTAATGAATTTATAAAAATTTATTGTTTATAATTTTTTAAAGGTTTCTAACTCATTCAAGTGACAATGGATGGACCATTTACATTTAAGAATTGTAATGAGTTTAATCGGAGTGAGTTTTTATTCACTTACGAATTTAATCTGATTTTTATATTCATAAAATTTAAATTTGATTTGATTTAAATTTAAATTTAAGTTTATTGTAAAATTATTAAAAAATAATTTTTCATAAATTTATTAAAATTGATGTAAATAAATATATTTAAATTAATTAAAAAAATATTTTAAGTGCAACTCAAAAACTCTTTGTTGTTAAATAAAATGGAAATTGCTATAAATTTAATTTAAATAATCAAATTTAACTTCAAATTGACTGAAAATTAATGACACAATATGAATTTAAATAATAACAGAAACAAATGCAAAATTAAATGAAGTTTAATTTTTATTTGAATCTTATTTTTTAAATAAATGACTACGCACCAAGTACTCAATCAAATAATTAAAAATTCAATGATAAAAACATATATATCTTGTTTAAAGAGTTTGATTTCGATTTCGATTTTTTTTTTTCCCTGATCAAAGAAAACCATCTCAAATTTACCCATCCAAGCCTGATCCAAGTTGTGGGAACAGGCAGAACTGGACACTACAACTGCATCAACTTTCTCATTTATGAAGCATTGATACCTGCCTCCCATTAGTGAACGCTGCAAACATTTCAGACAACAGAGACAGCTGTTCTGCCATTATAGCAATATCTACAGTTACAGGACACGTCTGGTTTAGAACTTGCTGAATTGGCAGAAGTTATTGTTGGTATAATATAATGTAGAATCAATTTTAGTCAGTAGTAGCATTTTATGACGTGGTGGTTGCATGTCTTAGTCCAATCAAAGGGGTGGCTTGGATGCAACCGTGTCCTTGGTAAAAGTTAGAAAAATAACCGAGTTGAGTCTAAATTAATGTAGTGAAAATTTTAATTTTAAATTTGATTTAAAATTTATTATTCGAAATTTTATTTAAATTTAATTAAATTTAAATTTTTAAAGTTTGAATTTAATATGAGATAAAAATTAAATGATTCAAAATCACTTGATTAAATTTGTTTATCAAATTAAAAATAAATTTAATTATCATATTTAACTTCAAATTTAATTATTTATATTCGAATTTAAATTCATTTATATTCAAACTCAAATTTGTATATTTATGAAGATAAAATAATAATTTTTAATAAAATAATAAATATATATTAAAATATAAAAATTTCATTAAATTAAATATTAAAAATTTAAATTTAATTTATTAAATAAATCAAATTGATCAAACTCAAATTTAAACCTAAATTTAATTCAACAATAATTTAATCAAATTCAAATTTACAAAACCCCCTGTTGATTGTCGTCGAGAACCTTGTTCACTGCATTGTGGACACCAAATGAGTATCCACCGTGGTGTGGTCCATGACAATCAATTATTGAACCTTTTTTTTTTAATAATTGATTGTCATTTTAGTTTTTTTTTTTTTTTTTTTGCCCTTCAATTTTTATTATTATATTAAAAACACTTTTATTTTGATTTATTATTATTATATAATAAATTAACAAATAAATTTTATAATATAATAAATAAATAAATAAATTAATTTTTATTTAATTTTTATTTAGTTATTAATAAACCTATTATTTGATATAACAATAATTTAATTATTTATGAATTTTATAAATATTAAATAATTTAAATTTTTTGTTACATATAATTTTAATTCTAACTCTTAATAATTATTTTTTCTTCTCACTATCATTCATCTCACTACTATTTTTGTATATACAAATCACAATAAATCTTAAATTTTATTTCCACCCTTATTCTTAATTTTACTAAACTCTAAATCTCATCTCAAATCAAGATAGATACAACATCATCCTATGTTTTTTTTTTTTTAATTTACATATATATATATATATATATATACATGTAATCAAAATTCTTCCAACATGAACGACGGTGCCAATTAATTAGTTCTATTTCAAGTTGAGCTTGGCTAATAAATATATAAAGGACAAGATCTTACTCTTTTAAAACACGTTAAATTTAGCAAAAATGAAAGAAAAAAACAAAAGGATACATACACTTCGCTAAGAAATACAATAAAACACAACATAAATACAAGTGCACAATTGAATCCAGCGTAAAACCTGGCAATTCAGATGTATGTACGATTGGAATAAAGAAAATCATGATTGCCATGATACATACAAAGATGCTCTGTTTTAGCGAGTAAAACAGTGTATATATGATTGGCTAATGGTTTGAAAAAGATTGAGAAAATCATGATTGCCAGGATACATACACTTTGCTGAGGAGGAAAATATATGAGCACATTGATCAAAGTTCTTCACTCTTCGAAATACACTAGAACATAAAAAGTCAGCGTGATGCTGCACTCACGAGGTTTTCTAACCAAACACGTTCGCAACCAATAAATAACACATACGCATTTATGTGTTCTACATAGCATGGTACGAGAAGCAAAACATAAACGCCTAGAATTTAGGCATGCCGATGGTTTCTTGACAAATTATAGTGACGTCATTCAACATCTATCTTACCTATGACAAGTGCCTCCATAGTGCAGGGCGATCTCTGGATATCAAGAGAACACGAGACGCCAAGTAGTCAAAAGAAGGGGAATACAAGTCATTTGGCCCAACGATCTCTCTGACATTTTGAGCATTGCCATAATCATATATGAAAGGCTGCAGCCCGTCGTCCTTCAAGGCATCGAATACGAAAAGCCCCAGCCCACAAACACCCATGACAAGGTTTGAATTTCCCCAAACCTGTGTTATGGCTGAATAATGGGAGTGAGCATTGGATTCAGGCAAAGAATAAGTACTGAACAGCCTTTGTTTGCGCAATGAGAACTGTTGAACTTGAGAACAAGGCTGCTTTTTCCCTGATGATCTCACGTTTGTGCACCCAAGAAAGATCGAATCCCCTCGGGAGAAAACTGACTGCACATTAACACCAACTTTTGCTATTTTTGCACCTATACCTGATGGGTGGCGAAAATCCAAGATATTAATAGAATCTGGAGTGCAGAATACACCATCGTTACCTTCAGCTTCTGAGGAACTTACTCTGCAATTCAGATGTTGGCAACATTAGGAACCATACAAGACTCTGTGCTTTCTTTTCTTCTTGCATGATATGATAAACAGGAAATTTAAATAAGCAAGAACTATAAGCAAATAAATTTATGCGAGAGAAAACAATAGTAAAATGGTGAATCACAACTTAAAGTCACCAACATCGATAAAAGCATATATAAATCCACAAGAAACTAGAAAACGGCCAATATAGGAATGATTTGAGATAATCGACAAAAACATGGGATAAAGTTCTAACCTTTGCCTAACCCCTCCACCTATCTCAGCATCAGTGTTATTTACATGAAAAGCCAAGATTTTTCGACCAGATGAAGAGACAGATAGTAATGTCTGAGGATATAGGGAGTTCACATCCCAGACAGAAATCATTTCTGCTTCTGCTACAGCTACCTTTCCTCTGTTTCTCCACTGCAGCGGACTTGAATAATCCATTGTTGACACAGGCTTCTGCAACTCCCACCTCATAATTTCCTCACCATCACGGATGTCATATACTTTGACAACCTTCTGAGAGCTGGCAGTTGAGATGATAAGAGGGCCCAATGGTTTATACCACCACTGCTGAGTTTCTGGTGATAAACTATTGCACAGAGCATTTCTTCCATACAAAGTGTTATTCTGTAAGGGACCAAGTACCGTTCTTGAAGCTGTTTCCCCACACTCAATGTGGAAAGCTCGCACATCTTTGGTATAGAAATCCCACGAGCAGAATCCTGATTCTAAAGAATTCCCGGCAGATGCAGCAACAACATATCTCCCTGAGCAACCATCGGCACTAGGAGCACGGATAATCCAACAATCCCTCCACATATTAGGTGAGACACCTGCTGGAGGCTTGTATACAGCCTTCTCCTGAAATAGCAATGGACCATCATTTTAAGAAGTTGGAAGGCCAGTCGTCTATAGGACTCATTTTTTCAACAACGTGCTCACATTATATAAAGATGAAAAAAAATGATTTAATCTATGAGATTACAAGAGAACTTTTTGGTCAAAAATATAGCCAAATCTATTCTTCAAGCCTTCAACAAACTCAATGATAACTTATCCAGTTCCAAGGTTAAATCCATTGAATTTTTTAGAAAACAGAACGAAGCGAGCGATAGAGACATTCAAATAATCAGAAGGAACACAAATCATCAAACAGAGATGAGAAAATACAAATATACTAGGATCACGATCATAAAACAACAAAGAGGGACATCAGACAATTTGCCAGTTGATTATAGAATACAAATAAAAATCTAACTTCAAACAGGAACAATAAAGAGTACCTCACAGTTAGCAATGTCATAAAAGGAACATGACCCATCATCATGAACAAGAAGAACTGCCTCTCCTTCTGACACAAACCATCCTCCAGTTGAAGTCTTGCAGCCAATTTCATGGAGCTGATAAATGCTAGCATCTTCAATCTCCTCACCAATAACAGCAGTTGGCCTATTCTCTTGCTCATAAAAGTCCTCAAGTTTTTCATCTGATTCAAGATTGAACTCCATAACACGCTTTGCATCAAATTCTTTCAAAGGCCGTTGTGCTCCTGAAGCACCATCACCATCCGTCTCCTGAGTATCAGAATTCTCCAAAGAAACCTGCTTATTCGTTGTGGTGACTTTAGTTTGCTCCTTATCAAGGGAAGCCAAGAACTCCAAAGCTATCGGATTATCCTCAATGGGACTCAATGGCTTCTTTTCCTCCGTTAATTCGCTACTGGAGTCTATGGCATTAGAGAGTTCCTGACTTTGAGAGCTTCCTGATGATTCCTTCAATGACGTTCTATTTCTAAGCAACCTGTGATGAGGAAACAATCTAGCCTCCAATTCCTCACTATTCAATTCTTTAACTGAAATTTTAACATTACCCTCGTGCTTACTCTGACTCCTCTCAACTCCTTTCGTGCTCACATCTTCATCTCCAGAACCAGAACCTTTTGAAGCGCTCATTTTACCATTGGAATCACTCACAACATGATTCATAGCCTTCTCAATGCCCGAAATCTTGTCCTGAATATCAGAAATTATCACCTTTGAGGCAAACGGATTATTCATGTCAAGCATCTCCTTAGTCCTCTTTATATCTGACGCAATTCTCTTCACTTTCCCTTCTAAAAAAGCTAGCTTTTCATGAAGCTTGCTGGGATATTTAACACCAACCCCACTCCCTCCACCCTCCTGTACACTCAAGTCCTTTGCTTTTGAAACCTCCAAACTCTTCCCATCACTCAAAGGCTTCTCTTTTAGACACTTTGTATTACATTTCTCATCAACCCTAACAAAGGCTCCAAGTTCTGAACCAAAATCGGAAATACTCTTTTCATTAAAAGCCCTAAAATCCCCATTTTGAATATCATCCCGATTTGGTTTTCCCAAATCAGAGATAAAGTTAACATCTTTTTTACCGTGCTCGTCCAAAACCCTAACCCTGTTTGATTTCCTCTCATTTTCCTTCACTTTCGTCACCAAATGTTCCCTAAACCCACTATTTTCTTTGCAACCTTTAACTCTCAAATCCCTAGAACCCTTCTTTTCCCTATCCATTGAATTCCTATCTTTCTTCAAATCAGCAAAAACCCGAATAAATTCAGATGGGCTCTGACTCCTACCTCTTGAAGCCGATGACGTGGACCACCGCATCCGGCTTTCATTGTCAGAGCCACCAAGCACCGCCGCCTTCTCGACGCGTGGAATGGATCGGATCAAGGGCTTCTGGGCCACCACGGAAGCCCGAGAAAGACTGCTAGGCCTTGGGTTTTCTTTGCGGGAAGATGATTTTTTGAGTGTCGGATTGGAGAGTGGAGTTAGGGTTTTTGCAGGTTTCTTGTTGCCGGTGGCTAATTCTCTTCGCCGGCGTACCGACGAGTCTGACATTTTTCTTTGGGGATCAAATATATTAACAATAAATTAATACGGAAACGGCGAAAATGGGATTTGAAGATAATCTTTCTCGTTTTAAACTTTAAAGATTGTGTGGGTTTTGGGCGGGAAATGAATGCAAATTTAGTAAAGTTTGAATTTTTGGGAAGGGTGGACTTTGGAGTTTGGAGGAGGCAGAGGCTCCGAACCCTTTCTACGAAGAGTATAATTGTCATTTTATCTCTTTTTTAACTTCTATTTACATCCAAATTTTTCTATACATCTATTTTTTATTATAAAAATACTTGTAAATAAAATTATTTAATTATTTTTATTAAAATTATTTTTTTATCCTTCAAAAAAATGCACTTGTTCTTAGTTTATAATGTTTTTGAAAATATATATTCCAAAAGTTAAAATTTTTTTAAAACTATATATTCAAAGCCTTTAAAATTTAATATATATTTTAAAAGTTTAAAAATTTTTAAAAAATGCATATCCTAAAAGATTTTCAGATATGTACTTTTGAAATCTTTTAGGATATGCATTTTTTAAAGGTTTTTAAACTTTTTAAAATCTACGGATATGTATTTTGAAGAAGTTTTTAAAATTTTTAAATATACATTTTCAAAAGATTTTTGAATTTTCAAGAAATACATATTTCAAAACTTTTCAAATATATATTTTTATAAACATGTTTAAATATATTTAAATATTTTAGGTGAAACAAGAAAATGAAGATATGAGTGTAATGATCAAAAATATGTATTTACATTTTGAATTTATAGTGTAAATAGAATGTGGGTGTAGAGAGAAAAAATGAGGTGAAAAAGAAGCTTTTTTTTTTTTTTTTTTTTGTTACTTATAGTTTCAACTTTACTTTTCTTTTTTTTTTTTGGTAAAAGAAAACTTTGCCTTTTTTTTCCTAAGAGATTAAACTTTAAATTTATAAACAAAAAATATTAGTATCAAATATTAACATTATGAATTGGGCCAAAATAACTATTAACAAAATTTATGGTAAAAAAATTTTATGTAAATTTTGAAATAAAAAAACTATAATCTAATAACTTTAAAGTTACAATTTTTTTTCTTACATTATATGCCTATTGAAGGATCTATTTTGATTAATAGTGAAATTGAAGATAGAGGTGATAATTAGATTAGTTACTATAATAATATAATTAGTTACGATAATAATAAGACTAAAATTAGTAGATGAATATGTGTTTAAATAGTAAAATAATGATGGTGAGATAAATTGTATCGAAAAAATTAATTATTAAAAATATTAGGTAAAGTTTGTATTTAATGGATAGTGAGATTAGAGTTTTATATTAAGGTTAATGTCATAGATAATTCTTAAATTATAATGAAATATTTAATATGATATCTAAAATTTAAAAATCTCTTATGTGATACTTGAATTATAAATATATTAACTAATGTGATACTTGAAAGATTATTTGTTTGTCACGTGTTAATATTTGAAGCTAGTCATATTGAGAGTAAATACCATATTAATTAATAAGTTCATATTCATGTTCCATATTACATATTTTTAAAATTCAAATACTACATTAAATATTTTATTATACTTTAAGGGTCATCATGATATTAACCCTTTATGTTATTATTATTTTGGAGAAAACTATTTATGAAACTTAGAAAATATATTAAATGCCCCAAAAAAGAAAAATATTTTAAGAATCCATAATATAAATTTTACTTCAGAATCTTCAACCATGGCATTTTTTCAACCCTTTTCTTTTTATATTTTTTTTGTTATTATATTTTGTTATTTATTTTTCTCAAATTTTTAAAAATTTGTAATTAATAAGATGGGATCAACTTTATACCACCTTTTCCCTTTCTATTTTTTTTCCTTTTTTTATCATTTTTCTTTTAAAAAAATAATAAATATTTTTAAAGACTTTAATTTTAATTTTTAATTTTTTTAATTATTTAAAAATTTAAGTGTGAGACCTATTTTGTACCAAGCGTTTTTGCTTTTTTTTCTTTTTTACCATTTTTACCTTTTAAAAAAAATTAATAAATATTTCATAAGATTTTAATTTTTTTTTAGGATCCACTTGATAACAAAGGTACACCACATGTATTTTTTTTATTAGTTTTCTTTTTTATATATTTAATAAATATGTTTTAAGATTTTCAATTTTTTGTCTCACCCACTTCATACTAAGGGATGGCAAAGTTAACACAAACTGCTAGGTTCAGACCTAATCTTATACCGTTGAATTGTTTTTAAATGGGGTTTAGGTTGATTTTATTTTTGAAAAATACAAAGGTAGGTTAGAGTCTATTTTATGTGAAATCCACATTGACCCAATCGGATATAATTACCAAAATACCCTTAATATATATTATTTTAGGATTTTTTTATTTTTCTCTCATCTATTTCTTCCACCACTTGATCATCTTTGACCTTGCTCTCTCGATCTTAGATTTGTAAAAAAAAATTTGTCATTCCCAAACCCATCTTCAACCAATAGTTCTTACTTGAAAGAAGGCCATCAATGACAATAGCACTAGATATATTTTATTTATTTATCTGATTGTTTAAGATTCAAAAGATTAAATTAGTTGTATCAAAAGCTCAAGGCCTCACATGAAGCTTTTAATGGTTTTTTTCCTCTTTGCAGATCGTTTGCCAGGAATTTTGAAATAAAAAAAAATAGTCAATTATGTAACCATGGAATGTTAAAACTTTTTATTTTCCAATTTTATGAAATGAGCCATTGAGTTGTAGTTATTAATGAGGTAGTCATTGATAGCTAAATTTTTAGATCTATCATGATAAAACACTTGTTGGGTTTAATTGAATAAAAGACTTTTAGTCAAATTTTATATTTTGGGTCGACTAGGAATCCTTTCGGTTAAATAAATTCTTTTTGTATTTTTTTTCATATTTTTTTCATATTCTCTCTACAACAAAAGTATTGTTATTGTGGAAAAAAATGTAAATATCTATTACTATATCATTACTATAATAGTTCTACAATTCCTTGACAAAATTTTATTGAACTTTATCTTTTAGGAAGTCAATCTTTAGTGCAAAAGTATATGTTTTTTGTTTGAAACTTTGTTTTGGACTAATCCATGGTAATTAAGATGAATAGATAATGAAAGAGTTGAAAAGGGGATGAGAATGGGGGTAGAAAAAGTTGAAGTCGAGAAAATGTCTTTATGTTAAGTCAGAGTTAGAGGTGTAAATGATACATTAATACTCGTAAACTACTTGAGTTTGACTCAAATAAAACTTGAATTCGGTTTGATTATTATCGAGTCGAGCTCAAGCTCGAGTAGCTCGACTTATTGAATGAGTCAAGTTCAAGCATTTTAATATCTCACTCGAGTAACTCAAGAGCCTAATCAAGCTTTTTTATTTTAGTATATTTTTATTATTTTAATTAATACTTTACCATTTTACCCTTAACATAATAACCTAAAAAAACCTAATGAATTTTTCATTTGTTCCTTGTTTCTCTATTTCACTCTAAGTCCTGACTCACACTTTAGCAAACGGTGCCTACTTTCCTCTTTCTGTTAACCCCTAAAAATCCCAAGCTAACTTCCTCTTTCTGTCGGTCGACTCCAACAGTACATGAGTAGCATCATTAGGGATTATAGGTTTGTGAACCAAGCTTGGATCTATAAGTTTCTCCTTTAGTTTTTTTTTTTTATAAAGCCATAATTTATTTTTGTCTATTGCTAGCCACTTTATGAGATGCTTTTACATTGAAAAGTAAAGATATTTAACTTTTTTTCTAGCATAGCTCTAATTTGTGTTGTGTAGTTGGTTCCAACAAAAAGTGAAACTTTTATGTTTGATAATTATTTAAAATTAAAAAAATACCTTCAAACTTGTTGTAATAACTTAGTTTCCACTGATAGATTGCTTTATTTGTTGTAAGAAGTTGTTTAATAAAGAGAAAATAAACTTAGATTGGATTGTGTTTTAAAATATGTTTGTGATTCCATTATAAATAACATTTGCATTTAACAATGAACTTAGATCATATCATAGTACCATGTTGTTGAAGTATCAGAGTTAGATCAATAAGAATGGATTTCTTTCTCATTTTTTCTTTTCTATTTTCAATATGACGATATCCAAAACTATTTTATTTGAATAATAATATTTTTTTTTATTTTAGTACAATTTGTGTAAAAAAAATCCAGAAATTAGAGGTAAAAAGACATTTTCTTGCTTATCTTCTTCTTTTGTCTTTCAATTTTATTAAGTGATTCAAGTTTTAATCAATTCAATGCTTAATATTTTAAAATGTATATATATCGTTAGAATTTTGGATAAAATTTTATTTAAGATTAAATTTTCAAAACTTTAAAATTTGATATTTTCCCATTAGCTTCCAATTAAAAATATAATAATAAAGTTGCTTAACCTCATAGCATCTAGCATTAACATGAAGGCAATTAAAGATGTTCAAACATTCCACGAGTACACCAAACCATTGTTCGACATTTTAGTCTTTCTTCCTCCTGAGCAAAAGGTCATTGTCGTGGGCCACAACCTAGGAGGCATGAATTTAGGCTTGGCCATGAATGAGTTTCCAAACAAGATTTCAATTGGTGTTTTCTTAACTTTCATGCTAGATGCCATGCACCAACCATCATATGTTTTGGATAAAGTAGTAATAATTAAATTTGATATATCTATTAACTACTTTATTGCTTTCAAATTCTTTATAACTGAAAAATCTTTAGGGAAAAAAAGCCTAACTGGCCTTTAAACCATATTTGAATGAGTATACATAATTTAATTTCCTATAAATGATTGTCAGTGCAAATTTTGATCTACGAAACTATTGTTTTTAAAAATATAGTAATAGTCTATTTTGTTAAAGCTAGCTTAGTCTTTCACTAAGCAAAATCGAGACTTCACCTGTTTCTATTTTTCAATTTCTATTCCTTTTTGCTTGGTTATATAAATATTTTTTTTAGTTTTCTAAGTATTTTTTATTTTTATTTTTATAATAATGCAGTAGTGCGGCAATAGTAATACTAATTAAAGTTTTATAATAATGTAGTAGTGTAGCAATAGTAGTAATAGTCTCTTTTGTTAAAGCTAAATTAACTAGAATCATGTTCCAACATTCTATTAAATAAGGATCTTTTTATGGTATTGCATGAAATTTTCATGTTTCTAGCATCATGT